TATTTGTCCAGAGTATCATTATCTATTCCCATATTACAGTTGCCGTGGTTACATTAAATTACAGCCTATTTACTTTAAATCACCAGGACTTAAATTTCACTTCATAGGGAGATGATTTAACGTGAGAGATGATTCCTTAAAACTTCCACTGTTTGACCTTTAATGACTTGTATAGGAATGTAGAAATGCCGCTTCTGAGCTTTAAACTTAACACTCGAGTAGTTTAAGGCCCGATAATAGGATTCCTAAATTTAATTTTCTATTATTGCTTAAAAGTAAAATTAAATATGTCTTGTTTGGCAAGGAAATTAGATTAGAATGGTTTATTAATAGTTACTATTGATTATCAGATTTGAAATTGTTGAAATCAAATAAACAAATTGAAAAAAAAATTTCTTTCAACTTGCATGCTAGTTTTCATAAGGCTATAAATGGTGTAATATGGCGAGTAATATGTGTATGGGGGGGGGTCTGCCGATAAATTTTCAAAACCATACGTTTTAATTAATTTAAAAAGAATTAACAACGTTTGGTTCAACCACAACAATTGATTTAGAAAAATTATCTTGAGATTACTAAAAGTCTGCAATAAGCAGGGATTTTTAGTTCTAACAAAACAATCAGCTTAATTTTAATTATGCTGATATTATTAATTATATTTTGATTAAAATAGCAATTTATATTATACACTGGATAAAATTTCAACTCAAAATTTCTTTGTACTTCTTTCATAGAAGAATCAACATTTCTATAAAAAGATTTAATCGTAAAAGTTTGTTAAAATGCGCTTGTGATAGTTTTTTATGAATTGCTCTGAGAATTTCTATGTCTTTTCAACTTTTGAAACTTTGAAATAGGAATACTTATATTTTTATTCCAAATTTATTTAAAGAAATGTTTAAAGTAATTGTTTTGAATAAAACTTAAAGAAAGTATTCACCCAGGTGAGATTATGAATCAAAGTTAAGATAAATGTTTGCATTTTTTTTTATAAAAATTTATTAGAAATCCTTAGTATAAAAATATATTAAACTAGATTAAAATATTTAATGGTGTAATTTTTACATTTTTAAAGTTTTTCTATACTAACTATTCTTTCTGTATTTATTTAAATTGTAAGAACTTTCAATGTGTGTCAGTTTTTTTTTAAATTTGAATTTATTTATTTTTTTTTGATTTTAAAATTCGTTTAAAAGCATCATATATATTTATTAAATCATTTAACTTCCCCGTCAGAAAATTATTAAAGCGTCTTTCAAAAGAAGATAACTTTACTTTTTACAATAATTACTTTAGTAAGCTGTATTTAAAATAAAAACTAAATTCGAGGAAATTGTACTAAAACCTGGACTTTAAAAGTGGGATTAAACATGTAATTGGAGGTTATAAGCGAAATAAATGTGTGCTGCATTTCGTGAAGCAAAATATAATTAAGGAAGTATTAAAGCTTGTGATAAAAAATATAAATTCTGCTTTGCATTTTTTTGCACTAGAACTGTTTTTTAACCTAAAAAATTCTATAGAATATGCACCACTTTGAGAGAAACGCTGGTATTCATATAAAAAAAATTATGAATATTATTAGTAATTTTATTATTGAAATAAAAATCTAAAAATTAACACAGGTTGCAGTTACTAATTACTCTATAAATTTGATAATTTCAATGCTAATTAATGCCAATTTATAGTACAATTGTAATCTAAAATTCATCAGATGTATTGTTAGGAAATTTTCTTTAGAAATTTAAATAAAATAGTATAGTTTAGAATGTTTGTCATATTTGAAATCAGTAAAGATTGAAAGTATTTTGAGGCAATTACTATTGTTTGATTTCTTCAAGTCCAGTCCTAGTATAATTATCTTGAATTCAATTTTTAGTTCAGCTCTTTTCTTTTAGAGTAATGTTATGTTTCAAGGTCATTAGTAGGGTCTTGCAAATGTCTTTGATGTTTTAATGTATGCTCTATCGCAATTAGCATTGGTCAAGTTCTAACCCTTTTTTTATGACCAGTTATCTTACTTAAGGTCGGTCATCGCTATGCTGAATTATCAATGGATGATCAATCTGTAGTATCTAATGCATGTATAACTATCACTTTTTGTAAATATTATTGAATCCCTCTTACCGGATACATACCTTAGTCTTAGATGGGAGAATTGAGACTCAAGCAATAATTATTTAATATTTTTCAACGACGAATATCACAAGAGTTGGATCGCTTTAGATCAGTTGTTAGAGAATCGGACTTCAATATGGAGGTGCCGGGATTCGATATTCGACTCCGCCAAGACCCACCGAGTTCATGCGATGCACGTACTCTTAAAATCTGCGGAATAGAAAGCCCAGTGATATGTCTCTGAGCAATACCATGGCTTACGGGGAATTGGAGAAAATTTCCTTCCCCACCATGTCTATGTCAAAATTATGAAATGTCCTTACGTGTGAGTTGTGCTGCCTTTTATTCGGGAGGTTGTGAGCAAGACATACTTTCCTCTATGCGTGTTTTCTTATCAAACGTGCTCTCATACCAAAAGGCGCACTTTCCTGACTTAATTGGCCAATGGTTGGCGAGCTTGGCTTATTCAAGTATCATAAGAAACAACATCAAGAAAGCAATTTAGAAAGGAATTAGAATTAGAATTACAAAGAAGCAATTTAGAAAGTTTATGGTAGAACTAAAATAATTATGTATTTTTATCAAACATCTTTATATACGGGACAGGAGAAAAACGGTAATGCTCGAAGTTAGTCTAGAATCATAAATATTATATGGTAGAGAATGAGTAATAAAATGGTTAAACAGATGATTGAGGAAAAGTTTGAGTGAATGTATGAGTAAATGAACAATTCGCATGAGGCAGAATGTATGAATGAATTAATGGATGATTAAGTGAATGGGTGAGAAGAACAAGTGAAGAGAACATACAAATCAATGAAGCCAGTGAATAAAATACATATTTTTCAATAAATGCATTGAATCACAAAATTAATAAATCAGAAATGAACAAATAACTAATATTATAAAATTAAGAATTTGTAAATCAATGAATAGTTGAACGAATAGGGATGAATCGGTAAATCAATAAATCCGTTTTTAAATATGTGAAAAAAATTATAGATATTTAATTTATTGTCAGGAACGATCATGACTTTTTTTATTTAATTCATTTTTCATACATTGGATCGAAATATTTTTTAAATAATTTTTTTTTTAAAGTTTGCTCCACAATACTTATTTAGTTCAATATTCGTTCTTTTTCAAACAAATATCAGCAGAATTCCAACTTTACTAACACAATTCTGATTCAAATTATTAGAATAATTGAAAAATTTAAGATTAAAAACTCTCTTGCTTTATTTATTTGTTTTTTTAGTTGCCGAAATTAAATTAAAAATTTAACGAATCAAGTCTACCGATTTCACACTATATTTAAACATGAAAGAAATCAATATGAAATATAAATTAATTATGTAATTTATTTTTGAAAAAAAGTTAAAATAGTAGAATAAAATTTCGTGTGGTCCAATATAGCAGAATATTTCATTACAAACACTAAAATTCAACTGTAAACGGAGGGAAAAAGCTACTTAATACTTTGTATCATCACCTTTAGCTTTGATCACTGAATATAAACGATCGTGCATGGAATAAAAAAGTTTTTGGCAGTCTTTTTGTTTACATTAGCCAAGCGATGGTCAAACGTTTTTGGTCGAGGGCCAAAAATCGGGAGAAAAAAGACTAAGGTGAGCTAGGTAAAAATAAAAAAAAAAACTATGTCCAAGTTTTAATTTAAATATTTAATGAGATGAATGAAATTGCGATTTCATTTTTAAAAGTTCCTTATTTTGAGGTTCGAAGTGAGATGTACTTATTTTAAGGAACAAAGCTTAATGCTTGTCTGTTAGTCTACTTTTAAAATGATTTTTTCTAAGGTTCATAGTTCATTTATAAGCGCAGCTTAACCCTGTCCCGCCCCGTAGGGGGGCATCCAGGTGATACTGAAGACCTTGTGCGCATACGTGATCTGCATCAGTAGAGAATTGGCACTTTGGCTTGGCAACGTCAGGGTGGCAACACTTGCATCGACGGGGAGGCCCGCGATCTGGAGCATTGTGTGATGACGGGTACTAAAATATTAAAGTGTATGAGCAAATTTAAAAATTTGGATAGTCCGGCTGCTGCACGCGCAGAGCAACCACCAACATAGTTCATTTATAAGAAATATCTGCTCACATATATAAAATTAAGCATAGTACGGATTTTCTGGGATTTCGAGATATTCAATTTGGGAAACTAGCTTTTGGTAATGATTTGTAACTCAACTTTGGCATATTTAGAAACAACTGCTTCAGATGATTGTTAGATTGCAACTCAATTAATTCAAGCTGCAAATCAGCCCTTACTATATCACAATTTACGTTGAAAGGCATGGTAAAAATATCTACTCATATTGGAATAGCACTGGAAATCATGAAATCTACGTTCAAACTCAAAATGGAGTTTTTTCAAGCTATCTTCATAATTCTGTCTGTGCCAGCTACTTCCATCCTGTACTTGGTTAAAATAGAAAGGGCAAAAATAGCTTTAAACAAAGTAGACAAGAGAATGGATGTATAATGTATATAGTTTATATTCGCCACGGATCGGTAAGTTAAAATTCTATCCGCGGGATGGATAAAACCTTCCGGTGGGCAACAGTTGATCCGCGATCCGTAGTTTGCCCATCCCTGCATTAGCTGAAATAGACTTAATTCTCTACTCCAGCTGAGCGTCGCATGTATGAGCAACTTCTAGTAGTTTTTTATTTAGTATTACCCTAAATTTTTTGATATATAAGGCGAAGCTAATTCTTGTTATTAAACAAAATCATCTTCAAACATGTCTTCTGATGATGGAATCGCGTAGTATTCGTGAATATCTTGATGAATATCTGAATTCACCTTATATTTGAGGATTCATTCCCTTCTTGATCCATTTGCGTTCACGTAACTTCATACCATCACAGAATTTTACAGAGCGCTTCAGGCACACTTTATTGAATGCTTCATCTCCAAACTCAAATGCTTTGATTGCTATAAGATACACAGAACATACTTTCGTCACTAAACAATACATTTTTCCAATCCTCCATGGCCTATATCTCTCCCTGATTTGCATCATCTCATTCTTGCAAACTTTTCTTTTACAATCATAAGTGGGTTTTGTTTGGGAACATAAGATTGAAACTTGAAATTATGAAGAGGTCTTAAAGTTGACGATTTAGAAATATTAATTCCTTTTTTTCCCATTTCCGATGCAAACATCGCACACTACTAAAACGATTTTTTTTTTCAACTGTAGCTTTTAAATTCTGTAATCTCTGGTGAAGACTTTGGTTTTTGATCATCATTGCAACGATTATGTCTAAAATTTCGTATTTCCTATAGTTTTATAAGATCCTGTTGACGCTCGATTCAAAACAATTCAAGTAGTTAGCTGTATATTGTTGATTAATTTTTAATAACAGTTTTAATATATTTAAAAACAATGTTTTGGAATATATTATATTAAAAAAATCTTTTAAAACAATTTTAGCAATGAAACAATTTAACTTGTAATTAAAAAGTAACACTCACAATAAGTATCATTATTGATAATTATCCCGAATTTATTGCTTTTCATAAATTTTGCAATCAATAATGACCACAATATTAGCATTGCTCACATTTACCTTTGTCAATAATGATTAACGATAACTATTGTAAACACGACATTTTTCGTCAAACATAATATTAGCGATGTACAGTAGAAATCTACTATAAAACATTGTTCGTGTGATAATTATTAACAGCAATATTAAATGACATATACCTAGCACTATCACGAGCTATCGGTTTTTCGGGTTTATTTGAATCGGGATTTAATAGTTAAATAGGCTTTCATGAGTTAGTCGCATTTCTCATTTTAATGTGATTCAAATCGAACGAGACTATCAGTCATATATTTGATTTAACTGAACTAAACATGCTTCGACTTGTCCATAGTTAATTTCGAATGAATAGACTGTGCAAATTTAAATGCTGAATGCATAATTATGATTGAACGCATGCAATTACGTTGTTGCAGATTCACATACATTTTGTCCGATTACAGGTAACGCTAATACATAGCATTTGATATTGAGCAATTGTATGAACCATAATCAATTAAAAATTCGCTTTAAAATATAAGACATTTAAGTAATTAAGTTGAATCAAATAATGCAGCTGAACTTTTCTAAATATGTTTTGCATATTTTAAGCAAAACGTATCACGCGTATCATGCGTTAGAATTTAATGAAAAAGTCTATATTTGGATTAAGATGCAAATTTAGTAAATTTTGTTAACATGAACATAACATATTTCTGAAGATCTGAAGGGCAGAAATGATGAAAAACAATTAAAAAAATAAAAAATAAATTAAGAAAAGAAATTAACGCTAACATATATTCCGGTTCAAATTATTTCTCATTAGTAATTATTTTAAAGAATAGGCAATTCACTTTAAAGAGTTCAGCATAAACACTGGTTAAACATTTAATTAAAAATTAAAAATCTTAGTTAAACATTTAATTATAACATTTTTTTAAACATTAGCATCTAATAGTAACTAAACTTGTTATCAAAACACTAATATATTAGTAATCAAAAGCAATCAGTTTAATCAGCAAAAATGTGAGATATCATTGCCTAAAAGTAATTGCTTTAAAAATCACACACTTAAAAATTTATACCTAAAGTAAATATGTTTATTAAAACCAATGCAAGGCTATATTAACTAAAATTAAGTAGTAACATTGACATGAGTGCTGGAAGGTAATTGGTTTTATGAGCAAAAATGAAAATGTTGGTACCTAAAAGTAATCAAAACAATTATTCATATTATTGGAAGTACAAGATCCATACCCAAATGTAATTAGTATTATTAGCAAAAATAGATTCGATATTCTACCGATTCTATAGAATTCTACCGATTCGACAAAAATAATTATTTTCATTAAAAAATCACAAGACATTCATTTCAAATTTCTCGAAATGTTTTATTTGTCACAAAATAAAACTACTTTAATATAGAATATTTCCGCAATACTTAAATGCATGTTTAAAAATGAAGTGTTATTCTGCTGTATAAAGAACCTATAGCATACAATAAATATTCAACTATGCAGATTATTTTAATATTTAAGTAGACACGTAAATCTGCAGTCCAAAAATAATGATGTATTTTTCGAAAATTTATTCTGACTCTCAAGAGTGCTAGGTACTCTTCACTAGAGTACTAGGTAGTACTCTTCATATAGTACTAGGAGGCTCCACCCCCTGCTCGCTAACGCTCGCCAACCCCCGAGAATTGCTACGCAATCCTATGTGGTTCACGCCGTGAACCATGGCTCGCTGCGCTCGCTCGCAAATGAACACAATGTTCTAGCACAAAGACATAGTATATTATCATCAAAGACATAGTATTTTATCATCAAAGACATAGTATTGTACTTATGTAGAAGAATTCTATCAATGTTCTTATTGGCTTTTAAAAAAGTATATTAACTATTTAGATTGTACATGGTGAAAAAATCAAAACATTAGCTAAATGAGAAACATATTAGCAAAATAAATTATCAAATATTGCAGTTACTCACCTAAATTCAACTAAATGTGCATAATAAATTAGTTAATGCTAGAAATTCTGAAAGTTTTAGAAAAAAAATTTATTATTTAAAAATATAAACTTTAAACCCTAACTTTTCCTTGTGAGATAATAACCCTCAAAAAGTCTTTCATTTTCAAGAACACAGAAATTTGTATCTATTATCGCCAAATGAAATATTTTTTGGTGATCAGCATTATTGAAATCAATTTCTATATTAATTAACATTTGTGATAAAGTACATAACATTTTAGAACAAAATAAGGATGTTTTACATGCAATTAATTAAAATGCATGGCTGTTAGCATTACCCGAGAAATACCACGTGGAGGTCGCCATGCTGCATTTCTAATCGGGGAGTTTTGATTTTGGCAGTTCGCCTTGCCTACTGCCAATAGAAGTTACAATAAAATTTTTCCAAAAAACATTTTTTTTGCAAAGCTCTAAGAAATTAACAGTAAGCATTTAGAATTTCTTTGAAAACACAATTTTATATTTGGCATCTTGGAGAAATTACTGAAAGGCTGTCAAATGACTTAACTCTTGGCAGGCCAACATAAAGTTGTCCTTGACTAAAAACTTGTTTTGCCAATACTAAACTGATTTTCTCAAAAGTCTGACCTTGTGACTTATTTATAGTCATGGAGAAGGCCAGCCTAATAGGAAATTGTTTTCTCTTAAAAGAAAACGGCATGTTGTTATCAGAGGGGATTAGAGGTATTCTCGGAATGAAAAATGTACCAGCTTCATCATCATCAATCAGTTTAGCTTCAATTAAATTGCGCTGCAAGTTTGTAACAATTAATCTAGTGCCATTACAGAGTCCTTTAGATGGCATTAAATTTCTCAGTAGCATTATTATGGCATCTTTCTTAATCTTTAATTTGTGGGGAGGCATTCTTGTAGGAGTGATGGTGTTCAAAAATTCCTCAGGGTAGCTTAGTTGATCTTGTGGATCATCACTAATGACAGTGTCCACACTTTCATAAATTTTAGTAATTCCTGGCAGTTGTTCCAGCACATCATTATTGAATACTATTGATAAATCGTTGGTGACTGTTAAAATCGCCCTACCTTTGAGTTGGCACGGAGTTACAGTGTCAAAATCTACATCAGAATATAGTTGCTTAATGGGGTCTTGCTTAGATGGATAACAAATATCAGGCAACTTAATCATTTCACCATCTTTGCAGTTTCCAACATCCAATAACCATTCAGCAAACGCCTTTTCAGTTGAAAGTGCCCGCATATTTTGATTAATGTATAAGATGTTGAATTTAGTCTAAAGGGGATGTTTTTTAAGACAGTTAGCAATTGTCAGTGAACGGGTACCTTTAAGAATGACAGGCAAAATTTGTCGAAAGTCTCCTTCCATCAACACAACGCTCCCACCAAAAGGATGAGAGCAGCTCATTATGTCCTGCAAAAGTCTATCTACAGCTAAAAATGCATGCACATGCGTCATCGGAGCATCATCCCATATAATTAATTTAGAATTAAATAATGGAATAGCTTCTGGAGATGTAGGTTTTAAATTGCATTTAGAAGTAGCGTTTAAAGTAATTGGTATTTTAAATATGGAATGAGCAGTTCTTCCGCCTTTCAAAAGAGTAGCCGCAATTCCAGTTGATGCTACAGGAGTCACTGTATGACCTTTTCCACGGATTAAGTGCAACAAAGTTGAATAGATATAAGTTTTTCCAGTACCGGTAGGCCCATCTAAAAAAAAGTTTTTCAACTTCATTCTTATAAATGGCACTCATAACTTTATCAACAGCAGCACGTTGTTGAATATTCAGCTTTCCATAGTTACGCTGACCTTTTGTCTGTTCTTCTACCACATCATAGGCTGGTAAAAGTTGCTAATATGAGGCAAGTTAACCTCTGGAAGTCTTACTTTCTTCAGATTTAACCCATAAACTAACAATAGATCATTTATTTCAGCAAGAGCATACTGATCTGCTGTTTCCTCCGAGTGCTGGTGCACAAAATCTTCACAAAGGAGATCTCTATGCTGTGTCCAAAGAGCAGGAATATCTTCTACTTCATCAAATCCACAAATAACTGCAAAAAGCATTCGCAAATTATGTGGCATTCGAATCAGTGAAGCCTCACGCAAAGTATCATGCCAATGCTCATCTCCTTCAAGAAAGCCAAGTTCCCTACATGCTTGCTGAAAACTGATGCAGACATTTCCATTAACTGCTTTTAAATCTTCAAAACTATTGGCACCAGGTTTCCGCAGCAGCAACATTCGCAAAAAATAACGTTCGCTATCTTGAATGCTGATGACGGGCATCCTGCCCATTATTTGGTCCCCACCCCTTTGACGTCTTTTTCACCGATTATTACTACGATCAAAAACATAATAGTGAGGCATATCAGAATAATAATATCTGCAGGCATCAACATCAGTTTGGTTTAATTGAAACCATGCTGTTAAAGTCGTATGTCTGGCGGAGGCTCGAGCAAACAACTTCAACTACATGGCCACTCTGATAAATTACTTGCTGTTGATTTGGTAAGTGAACAGCTAACCTCATAACAGTGTGGGATTTTTCAGACATATGAAATTCATTTAGCCACCACATTGCCTCAGGAGCAATGACATAGCGTCCATCTAGAAATGTCAAAATCTCATCGTGATTTGCATCATCGTTTAGCTGCAATTTAATATATGCAGCATCATGGCCTTTGTAAACATACTTGTAAAGATATTTCACACTTTTGACCGAAGCACAAATCTCAACATTGATGTGAGCATTAAATTTCCTTGATAACCAAGGGTTATAAGGCACAACCCAACGATTATCAATATCATATTTACCTACCTTGATAGGTTTTGTAATACTTCTCTGGTAAACTGGATAACCGTTCACATTTTCTTGAGTGGTCTCTTGAAAACCTTTCGGAAAATTTTTAGAACACAAACCCTCCTTCATGCAAGGAGAATTTGGATTAAGTATGCCAAAGGGACCATGAATCATACATTTTGTAATAATATCATAAAATCTAGGGGCAGTTCTGCTCTCACAAATTTGTCGATATCATCTTCAGTTCGAATTTTAGCAGCAGAATCCAATGTCAACAGCATATGGGCATGTGGTAACCCACGTTTTTGGAATTCAATAACATAAATAAATAAAATAACCTTACCAAATACATCACGTTCAAAATATCATCCAAAAGTTCTGTCAATTTCAATTTAAGGACACGAACAATGATATTGGGTCTATTTTCAGGACGCTGGTGTCTTTGTAGAGCACTCACTATTTCTGGCCATGCTGGATTGCATGTGAAAGTTAGAAAAATATCTGGTCTCCCAAATTTTCTAACAATTGCCATGCCATCTTGATAATTTTGTTGCATGGAGCGAGGAGATCCTTGAAAGGGTGATGGTAAAATGATCAACTTCCCTAACTTTACATTGTTTGAGTGAGCTTCACTTTGAAGAGAGTTCAAAAGACCTTGATATAACTCAACACGCAAATCTTTCTGGTTCAATCTTAAATAGTTCAATCTTGAACCTTCTGTTCTGACATAAACATCAACGATGAACTGCTGAAAGAGCTTTCCACTGATATGAAGAAGGCTGAACTCACTGCGGATAGCAAGTCTGTAAGCATAATACTGTAATTGGGTTACACAGATACGCTTGGCAGTACGTCGCTCTTGTACATGCTCCATTCCAGCATGTCAACCACAATCTCCTTGTGGAAAGAGAAGTGGATAGACCATTGGACCAATGCATGGATTCATCGGAGAAATAGTTTTGCAAGAGTCTGCAACAGGATAGATGCACAAATCTCGATTAGATGGAGGTTCCCCATTGTCTCCAACGAATATGGCTGCAACTTCTGTCTTTGATGTGGGAGCATTATACCGTCTCAAATCTGAAGAGGGATCTTCCATAAAAACTAATTTTACATCTGTTGCAGGGTTTAATTGAATAAACTGATGCATCTGAAGATATGATGCAGCAAAAGGGTTAATTTGCCTCAATAGACCGTCTAATTGTTCCATTACAGAGCGTAAACATCCAGTATTGTTTTCAATGCGTCTGTTGGTAGCTTCCGTTGAATCAAAAATATACAGCTGCCCGTATCCAGCATTATTTTGATCATCGCTATACCAAGGTGACATCATATGATAAATTTGACCATCAATCCGAAAACAATACGGTCCATTTCCAGGAGTTGGCTTTATGTGTGCTCCAAATGATGCAAAAGCAAGAGCAGAATTATATTCCCGGATATGATTTCGATAATTTCGTGCCTCAATCGAATTATCACTTAATAATTTTTGCAGCAACTCGGGAATGTCCATTAGTGTAGGCAAATTAATTTTTCCATCGTGGCAGCATTTCGTATATTTGCCAGAAGAATTTCTTTCTTTGGCCCAGAAGTAAGCATTACAATAACTACAGTGTTCCGTCATTGAGCCAATATACTCTTCGACATCTACTGTTACATCTTGAACAGTTATTATTGCACTTGATCTCTGCAATCTACGTCTTCCATAACATTCCTCAACACTTTCTTGGGCTCTTCGAACACGTTTTCTTTCATTACGTTTAAAAGCCCTAGCAG